GAAAAGGTTATTGTGGTCTTATCCCATTCCTTTCCTGGGAAAAGGCAAATGTGGGTTCTTACAAGTTTCAGCAATGGGTGACCTACAGCTCACTACAGGAGGATGAGACTAGAGGTATGCACTTGTCATAGCAAAGTGTCCTCCCAATTGGCTATAACTCTTCTTCTGTGCTTCCTCATCATAGGCCTCCAAAGAATAATGTCTGTAAATATAAAGGATTGTACAAAATGCATGAGGATATCTCAGAAGCTCAGAGATTTCAACATATATTTTGATTTCGTGTGGGGGGAGATACCAGGGATTGAACCCAAGGGTGCTCTTCCACTGAGCCACATCTCCAGCCCTTTTTATTTTTTTATTTTAAGACAGGGTCTCACTAAGTTGCTGAGGGTCTCCATAAGTTACTGAAGCTAGCCTCAAACTTGTTATCCTCCTGCATCAGCCTTCCAGGTCACTGGGATTATACGTGTGCACTTTATGATTTTCAAATAAGAAAATCAGTTCTTCTCATCTTCAGCCAGAATGACAATTGATACCCTATTGAAGTGAGAGATGATTTACTCAGCACTCCTTAAAGTCTGTTGTGTCATTTTGTTTCAGTGAATCTGGGTTTTTTTGTTTGTTTGTTTGTTTAATGGTTATGTGTTTTTGTTGGTTTTTTTGTTTTGTTTTGTTTTGTTTTTTTAGTTTCTCAGAATGAAATGAGTTCATTCAGGGGCTGGGAGGTGCATTTTAAAAGATCTTTGCTGTCCTTTCTGTACCCACATGGGTCTTATAGATTTCCCAGTGACTGGAAAAGGATCAGCAAATTATAAATCTTTCTTTCTATCTAAACCATATCCCTTGTTCTTATTGTTACTACCAAATCTTTCTTTTTAATATGCTAGGCCTCAAAGAAAAGTGCCTTGGGGGGAAAATGGGGGTGGGGGAGACGATGACATGACCTGCTATCCAAAAGGAACACAAAAGCACAGATTGCTTTCCAAAATGTCCCTGATTTCAGAACATAACTGTGCACACGCCCTTAAAAGAAGCGGTAGAAAGGAGAAAACCTGGCCAGCTTCCTGCATCTCGCTGATCCAACTGGACGGGGATGATGACCAAAATCAAAGGCGCGTGGTGATTGGACAGAGGACCTAGAGGAGCTGGCATCTTCCAGGCTGCTGGAAAGGAGCCAACTCAGCCACACCAAGCAAAAGCAAGCTGAGAGCACACAGGGGCAGGTAATTGAATGCACATGGGGCGCTCGGCCCAAAAAATGCAAAGTTCCTGTGTTCCCAAAGGAGACTTCAGGTCCTCAACCTCCCTCCTTTCCTTCACTGGCCTCCAAAAGGAGTGCAGGACATGTTGGTGCAACTGAAGTGCTTCTGAAGGCAGTAGAACGGGCTGTAAGTCACTTTGTCTTATTTCTAAGAAAAATGATTTTTTTTTTAATTGGAAGGGAATTCTCTCCACAACACAAAGTTCCTAGCTCTGTTATTTCTGATGCCTTTGGCAACCTCAGTTCCCAGGAGATGTGATTTTCCAGTATGTCCTTTCCGTGGTGCCTTGGCATCCTCTGATGAACAGCTCCAAGTAGATCCTTCCCCTGACCTTAGGGAGAGGACTTTCACAGGCACCCAAAGTCATTTTACTATGAGCCTTATCTTCCTCCTATTCTTTTTATTATTGGTATGATATGATATGGTCCTGTTTCCCACCCCCACACACTCCCCAAACCCTATACCCCGTTAAGAGTGCAGAACAAAGATTACAAATTCTTTTCTGCTGGTTCACAGAACTTTAGAGGGATGCATCAGAATGGGAACTTTGGAGAGGGAAAACCTTGGAAATGAATGTGAATTGGGATATAAAAAGACAAAACGGAGGCAATGTTGTTTCAACTTAGTGCTTTAAAAAAAAAAGTATGAATTACATTCTCATAGAGGAAAGGCAGAGTAAAATACAACAGGGTTTAAGGGATTTCCTCTCACCAAATTGTCTCCGGTCCCTTAATGGTGTTTAAGCCTCACTGAGTACTTTGTGTACGATCCCTAGCGTGGTGATTTGCATCCCCCTCTCCTGGTTGCTCCAGGCTGGGGCTGGCAGCTGTCTCAGTCTGATTCTGGCTGAGAAAGGTAAGGATCTCTTCTTTGCTCTTTGAAAGAAATGTTGAATGCCTGCGGGGGAGGCGGGGGGGGGGGGGGGGGGGGGGGTGAGGAGTGTTGATATAATTCATGCATTTGGAGGCTTTCAGAAAAGTTCTCCAAACTTACAAGAGTCTTCTAAAGCCATGTGCATTATAAAGAACCAAGGTTCCCTCTCCCTTCGGAGGGCTTGCAGGAAGAAGCCTGCTTGCACTGTGAATGAGATTTTGGATTTGGGAGCAGGTGTCCCCAAAGGGTTCCCAGCCTGTTTCTTGCCTTCCAGTCAAGAGTGGAGAGGGATAAGCAGTCAGGAGGACGGGGGAATGCTCTTTGAATTTCAGCTTGAAGGGAGAAAGTCAGGTTAAGCTGCCTGTGTCTGGTTACAAGGAGAGGTACCTGTTCTGATACCAATTGCATTTTGTCCTGAAGCTTTCTCCTTATTTATCAGTACAAATCCTCCGTGTGGAGCAGTGTATCTGTGTATCTAGGTGCGCGCGCGCGCGTGCACACACACACACACCACAGAGTGCAGGAGAATGGGGTGAATGAGTCACCTGAAGCCTGAGAGGGTGAAAGCTTTGGTGTCAGAGATAGACAAAGCTTCTTCCGTCCTCCCTCCTGGGAACAGCTACCTCACCTTGTTTTGGATACAGCCCAGGGCTCACCACCCAGGGCTGAGAAAAGGTGCTGCTGGCCTCTCTAGAAATTCAGAGCATGGACCTTTGACTTGGTAACAGGGAAACATGATCTTCAATAGGAAAAGTGGTACCCAGAGTTTCCTTGGAGTTTCTGTGCTTTTGCATTGTGTGTATGTGTGAGTGTGTGTGTGTGTGTGTGTGTGTGTGAGAGAGAGAGAGAGAGAGAGAGAGAGAAAATGACTTGCACCAAGCAATAGACAGGAATTGCCCTCTAAGGTGGCAGCTCTCAGGTGGGGAAGATCGCTGCTCTGTTAGAAACCTCCAGTTAATGTAACCAGGTGCCCCACTTCACCATTTCCTGGGGCAACTTAGGCAAGTTCTGAAATACCCTGGTTCTACATATCCCTGATCTCCATCACCAAGTGACAACTCCCCCTGTGCATAGTACTTGTTTCTTTAGGTCCATCTTTATTTAAAACTGAGGATGTTGTGGCCGGGGTCTCCAGGTGGCCTCCAGGTATCTGTAGCCCTTTGCGTGTGGGCTCCCCCACTCAACCAAGTCTCAAGAAGTTTTTAACTTTTTTTTTTTTTTTTTTGGAAGTGAAAAAGTCTCTCTATGGCCTCCATTCTAGAAAAAAAAAAAAAAGGAGGAGGGGGTTCTGTTTCCTCTGTGACAATAGCATCAAGATTTTCTTTCTAGAGGAGGCTGGAAAAAGCAGGGTACCTTAGAACAGGTGAGATCTGGAAAGGACCCAGACCCTCTGCCTGCTGCTAGAGAAGTCTAACAATCCCACAGGAAGGAGGAAAGCAAACCTCTGCCAGGAGTTAATGGGGATTTGCAGATTCGCTGTATTAATTTAAAGGAGTCAGTAATACTTGTACAGATTTTTTAAATGGGGGACAGGTAACTCTGAGCTATAGAAGCATGGGAGATCTAGGGCTTTATGTATTTCATATACTTTAAAATATCACATAGCTTGTCTGTAAGGAAGCATAAACCTGTAAGCGACTTTTTGATGATGGGAAGTGTGTGTGTGTGTGTGTGTGTGTGTGTGTGCATGTGTGCACGAGGGTGCTGGGCATTGACCCCAGGTCCTTGCTCATGGTAGGCAAGTGCTCCACCACTGAGCTACACCCCAGCCTGGAAATAGACTTTTGACTTTATTGTTTGAGAATATAATGTGTCAAGTCATATATGTTTGAATGTTAAATTACCTTGCTCCTTAAAGCAGGCCTAGACATAAGCATAGGTGAGGGGCTTGTGACAGACTTTTGTGATTCAAAATCTACAAACAAGCACCCCTGCCAGGTGATTTATCTACCCATTAGAAACCAAGGGTTTCTTTCTGCCTGTGTGACCTTTGTCAGTTTACTTAACCTCTTGGAGCCTTCATTTCCTCATTTATAAACTAATGAGAACTGATATTAATGTGTGACATTCCTTAATATTATGCCATACCCATAATAGTTGTTCTGTAAATAGTGGCAATGTGGATGCTCCTGCTAATGATGATTTTAGCATGCCAAAATGCTACTTCTACCCTAAGAAGTAAGCAATCCTGTTTCAATCAAGATGATGGTTTCCCCCTTAGCCACACACATCAGTAATTTTCCACCCTCCTTCCTCAATGAATTAACATCACACTAAGGGAGTGAGGATTAAGCTTCAGATGACCATCACACACATATAATTCAAGAGTACTGGCAAGACCTAAGAACACGGACTCTTGCTGGCATAGAAGCTGTACTCAGTTGCTGGTGACTTCACAGCTGTGTCTGCCTCCCCGGCGCGGTGCATCTGTCCCCTGACTCTGTCCCCTCAGCTGGATCTGCAAGGCTGACTCTGGGATTCTCTTATGAAAATGCCTGATGGGCTGGAGGTTAGCTGGGGAAAAAATGAGTAATTCAAAGCAGCCTGCTTAGTAAACGCTGCAAGAGAAATAAAAGTAAAAGCTGACTCCTGTCTCTGGGGACTCTAGAAATGATCCTGACTTATCATGTCACTGAGCAGAGTTGGGGAAGCCAAAACTCGGAATCTGCTGGCAAGGAAAAGAAGGAAGGAAAAAAAAAATAGGGAGGGCATAGGGAGGGGCAGACTGGAGGGGGAGGGAATAAAAAGAGGGAGGGAAACAGCACTTAGAAGCAGAGGTAGCTTGAAAGAAGAGTTCCAGGCTTCAAGACCAAACCAACAGCAAAGTACGTTTCTGTCTTTTTCTTTTCCCCAGAAGAGATCCAGACCTCTCATTTGATTGACAGCCCTGCCTTAACAGCCTGTTTCCCAGAAGTTTTACAAAGGCGCGCTCAACAGTTGCAAAGAGTCTTGATTCTTTCCTTCTAAGTCGAGTGATTTCCCTGGTAATGGATTGTCTCTCTCTGAGGTAGGTGTGAATAGTTTTGGGGACAGAGTTTCATTTTCGGGTTAGCGCAGTCTCCGCTGTGGGAAGACTTCTTTTTTGTTCTTTATTTTCAGAGTGTCAAATATCCTTTAACTGACCTCACCAGATCTTAGGGTATCATTGAAGAGCAGTGATTAATTTGGTGATTAAAATTTATGTGGAAGTAGGCAGCCTTAATAATTCGTTTCATTGCTTAGGAATTGATATTTTGACCACCTAGGGCTACAAGGAACCAGTGAGGTTTTATTTGGGCTTGCATTTTATTTTCAAATGATGCTTAATATATTTAAAGGAGGAATCTCATCTCAAGTTTCTTCCCGTAAATTCTTTCAGTAACTACAATTGTTCAGGCCCTGGAGATCCAAGACAGCGAATTCCCTTAGCATGCCCAAGCAGCAGATGAGGTTTCTCAGTGATTCCTCATAGAAGCATTTCCATTAAATGCTTTTGAACAAGGGTCTCAAGTTTTGTCCTGGAATTTCCAGTTCAAAAATATTTAGAATGGGGCAAATTTTATACCCAAAGGATTGGAGAAAGGAAAAAAAAAAAGAATTTGTCAAATTTTGCTGACTACTTGGCATGCTTATTTGTTTAAGAAGGTCTTCGTATACATAATATCAAAATTCCTGGTTGAGGTTAGTAGGAAATTGCTCTGACAGTTGATTTTGATCTATGAACATGAGAAAACCCAAAATTATACTCCATGAATTTGTTGAATTATTTCTTGCTTTTTTTTTTTCATTTCAAATGGAAGGAGAGTATTGCCACATTTCTGAACTCAAATCCTTGCCACGTTGTCGCCAAACTTTTTGCTGAACTGCCCATCTGCAGTGGGGTGGGGTGTCCCAGGCACATGCTGTACTGTGTTTAACAGGAACGCAGTAAAGACTCACTGGCAGTCAGTAGTTAAGGAAGAGCATCATCTGTACGCTGGCCACTTGTCTTGACACTGATTTCACGAGCAGTGAATGGGTGACAGTTTGGAAAGAATGCCTGTTATACCCTGCAAAATTGGCAGAGCTTAAGTTGCTCTGAGCTGTGGAACTAACGGTTTATAATGTTGTCTCCTCTTGAATGAGGATGTCTGTGAATTAGGATCCAGGCTCCTCTGTGTTTAGAGAAAAGAAAAGCAATAGACAAAGAGGAAAAGCTTATTAAAATAGAAAACATTTGTGGACCACCAGGGAATATTAAACACTGTAAAGTGCTTCCTGCTTTTTAAAAAATCTTCCCTTTTATGTTTATCTTGCTTTTTTGCTCAATGCAAAGACAACACAATCAATCAGGAGAAAAAAAAAATAGTTGATTTTCACATGCATCCAAGACTCCTGCAGAGGAGGTGCGTTTGCAGTTCTTTTTCAGTTCTTCTTGCTTAGCTGACATCTCCTGTTTCCATCTCCACAGTTTCCACCCTGCTGAAACCAGATACAGCCTCTGAACCCCGCTAGAAAGCAGCAATGGTAAACATGAATGAAGAGCCTGTGAAGGAGAGCCTGGGAGCCCCCAAGTCTCCCATGCCAGTGACATCGGAGAAAAGCTCGAAGAGCGAGGTGGTGATCAACACGACCCCGCTGGTCACTGAGGTCCAGCTGCTGGCCGCCACCGGGGGTGCGGAGCTCTCCTGCTATCGCTGCATCATTCCCTTTGCCCTGGTGGTCTTCATCGCCGGGGTCGTGGTCACCGGCGTGGCTTACAGCTTCAATTCCCACGGCTCCATCATCTCCATCTTTGGCCTGGTCCTCCTGTCATCTGGACTTTTTTTATTAGCCTCCAGTGCCTTGTGTTGGAAGGTGAGACAGAGAAGCAAGAAAGCAAAGAGACGCGAAAGCCAGACGGCGCTTGTGGCCAATCAGAGAAGCTTGTTTGCTTGAGACTGAATGAGACCAAAGGATGGCTCTGTGGCCCCAAAGCCCTGCTCTAACTTAATTCATCCAGAACCAGTGATGGAATGGGAGTGGCTTGGGAGCAGACTAGAAAAAAAACCAGGGAGTGGGGATTGAAGGTGGGGGGAAGGGGATTCCTCCTTTGTGAGGAGTCACCTGTCTTCTTCAATGCCTTCTTAGTGACTCTCTTCTTTAATGACAACCTTAATCCTAAGGGCTATTTCTAAGACCGAAGAATCACATCCCCCCCCAACACAAACCTGCAACAAACCTTTCTGGGGTGGTGGAAGATGGCACAGCATTAGGTAACATTTGGTTCACCTTGGAAAGCAGCCAAGAAGTGATGAGAAAATAACATGGTCCTAGCACACCAGACATCTGCCTCCAAAAGAAATACCCTGCACTCCTTCTTAAGAAGTCTGTATTAGAAACAGGTTCTGCTGAAGGTCTGCTGCATTACCTTGGACTTCACATGCATCTATGAAATTCTGTCACTTTTTTTTTCCCCAGTAAGTTGATTCTCTGACATCTGTGTTTATCTTTCATTTTCAGTAACTCAGCACTGGTGGTACTTTATCATGAAGAATAAACTAATATTTTTTATATATATTTTAACATTAGACAACTTAAGGTGATTTTAATGTTGTCTCAGAAGTGAACATGAAAGGTATAGGTAATAGATGACATGGGGGGGTTAAATTAATATTAAAATAATCCAATATAGCACTTTTAATGATTTTTATATAAAAGTTTAATGTATATTTCATTCAAAATAATAAATACTCATTGCTGCTGAATCTTCTTAAATGATTATTTGTTTTAGTTATTTTTACTGTGGTCCCAAATTGTCCATTTTCCTTTGGCTCATTTGCAAAGTATCAATTAATTGTGTTTCTCTCAAAAGGACAAGTTGGTTTTTTTCTTTATTGGAAGAGTTATTTTTATTTTTTTTCATTACTTTTAAAGAACAGTGTTAGTTATGTTTACTATATTCTAAAGGATTTCTATGCCATTTTAATTAGGAAATCAATGCCTGGGGTCAGAAATTTTATAATGTTCTGTTAAATGTGTCACATTTTTGTTGAATTAGTCACTAACTATTGCTTTAACATCTTTTTAAACAAGTTTTTAAGCACAGACCATAAGACAGGCATTATGTAGATTTTTCAGGCTGCTTATGTACTTAGTTCCAATATTAGGCAAATAAGGTTACTGCTAGACTCTTCTTTGGACATTGAGCTATTCCTTAACTCTAGCCAGAAATATTCCTCTTTTATGTTGTCAAACTAGAGCAGAAAGATAGTTGGTCATAAAAGCCTTAAAATTACAAGAATAAAACAATAAAGCCTAGCAGAGAACATTCCTTGAAAGGTAGTCTACTGAAGAGTTTGATTAAATATGGCAGGAGTCTTCTGGCCCCCACTACTCCTGGGTACTCAGGCAGTTTTGGTAACTGGAAACACCTTAATGATTTTGGAGGTCAGATGGTGACTGTGAGGATCAGCACTCCTCCCAACCTACTGCAAGCCAGTGAAAATGCTCAGTGCAGCCCCAAGGAGGCTGTGTTTTGAACACACCTTTTCTGTTTAAAGATAGTCAAAGGCTCTTCATGGCTTTATGAGGAAAACTCTTCAGCAAGGCTGAAGTTCTCCAATCTGCTCTAAACAGATGTATTAGCTTCTGTTCTCATTCTAACTCCCAAAGCTCCTAGGACTTAGCTTGGCTAGACTATTCCCCGTCCTGCCTCACGCTCTGGTTTTCTTGCCTCTCTGTCTTTCCTGTCTCTACACTTCTCTTTCCCTTCCTTTATAATGATATGCCATCTTCTCCTCCTCCTGTTTATCCAAATTGCTTCTCATCAGCACTCAAGCTCACGGGCCCCTCTTCCCAGAAGCCCTCCCTTTTATCTGAAAGTAGCTGCTTTTACACTATTACACTATTACACATTCACCCTTAGGATACCTTTCAGTTTCTAGCATCTTGGTGATATAAATATTTTATCTCCCTCCCAACGTTCCCAAGAAGTGTGTGACGTGTGATGATGTAACCTTTTTTTAAAAAAAGTTCAGCATGATACCTAATATAATGTCTTGCATGCAAAAAGGAGCTCAAGGAGAACAAAATTGAGATGCTAGGTGAATCAAGAATGAAAAATGAGAAAGCAGTTCATGCAGGTTTATGTACCATTCTTATCTCTTGACAGAAAATACTTGGTTCTTGACTTTCTGCTCTGTAGGTCACCCGACTCCACCCTGCTCCTCCTGTAAGCACCAGGTCTAAGTGAGTATGAACTATCTTACTTCTTCAGCTAGACCTCCTACCTTTCCAAATGCTTGAAAAACAAACTCATGAATCATTTCCGGCCACCAGGGGGCCTCAGGCAGCTACCATGTCCCCAATGAAATACTTTGAAAGATTTATATTGTAATGACTAAAAGGGGATCATATCCGGGGATAGCAATATCTGTCCTGGCTGTGAGGAGCTGGAGGAGAGTCTCCATTTGACCCACCCCTCCCCTTCTCCAAACCACTTGACAGTGGGTTCTACCATGGGAAGGACTTGCCCTGTCTGGGGAACCTCCAGTCACATTAAAAAATACAAACCTGTGCAAAGCTCTAAGGCACAGAAAGAGCCCTATACATTGTGAATTTCAACTCCCATGAGAGAAATAAACTAGACTTGACTTATAATCACAATAATCACAATTATCTCATAATACATCTTCATTGGGCAAGGTCTATCTTTACAAATGGTTCTATTATATACAGACAAGCACATGTTAAGTGTGTGCATAAGCATTCAAAAATGTATTTAAAAAGTCATCTGATTCCACCTTGGATCAACAGTAACCAGTGTGTCACTTGGAAGGATTCCCCTTAAGCCCCACACATAGAGTGCACAGGAACAGCTTTTACCCTTATCCTGTGCAATGGATTTCTGGTCCAGGTGAGAACCACAGCTGCTTAGAGGTGCTGCCCCTGCCACCACTTCTTAAAGGTGCTTGCAGGGGTCATGTGAATACAGCAGATAGCTGAGACCAGAAATAAATCCAGCAAGTCAGAGGCCAGATCACAAATCCTCAAACCTATCTCTTTCTCCTGTAACACCCGAGAGAGAGAGAGAGAGAGAGAGAGAGAGAGAGAGAGAGAGAGAGAGAGAAGAGGAAAAAGGACTAAGAGGAGGAGGAAAAGAAGAAAGAAAGAAAGATAGATAGATAGATAGATAGATAATAGATAGATAGATAATAGATAGATAGATGATAGATAGTTATCCTGATCTCCTGGTAAGTATTATGGCTTTAAATTTGGAAGATTTGGTCATGAATGCCAATTTTCCTATTCAATTAGCCAAGTGATCTTGAGAAGTTAAGCCTCATCTTTAAAATAAGGTTTGCTATAAAGAAATGATTATTTTTCAAACTATAAAGTACTCTGAAGTTACAAAATTTCTAGGTATAATAGTATCTAACGGTAACTTCATCTTCTTTCTCTACTTACTGTTCCAGTATGTAGGAAGCATCAAGCAGTCGCTGTTTTGATTAAATGGCTTTAATCAGTCACTTTAACTCTGACTTGTCCACAGACTTTTGAGGCCCAAAATAATCTGTTCTGAAGATGAATAGTAACTTACATTTCTTAATCTTATTCGAATTTCCAGTGCTTTTCACATGCACTGGAGTTGTCAAAAGGTGTATTTAAATGGGGAAATTTTCCTCAACAAAAAAGAGAGAGACAAATCCCCCTGCCTTGCCCCCCCCCCCCCCCCACCTGTCATTCAAGCTGGTCCTTGACACTCTACAGAAAGGAAGACCATGGTAAAACTCTACAGAGAGGCAAAGTAGTAAATTCTTGATTCTTGGCTTTTTTGAGCTTACCAGGGCCTGTATCCCAGTGATATAAGGCCTATCTAAGGAACTTTCATGAGTAATTTGATTACTTTTGACTTTCACATAATTCACTGACTATAGTACTTGATCTTGTGTATAAAAAGACTCAACTGCACCTAATATTAGTGAATCTACCCACACTACCCTGAGGCCAGGAGAGTAAGTGCCCACTTTATTTTGAATTTGAGTTCACTACCATTCGGGGACGTTAGGTGACTTGTTCAACCAAGATCTCATTCCAAAAGAGGCCTAGCACTGGGCCTAAGAAATTGACCTTATGTTAGAGTCAGACCCGCCCCTTAGTCCTTTGGGGCTGCTATAACAAAAATACCATATCCTGGGTGGCTTACAAAGAACAAGAAATTTATTTCTACAATTACTAGAGGCTGGGCGGGGGCGGGGGGGGGGGGGCAAGCCTGCTTTCTTATTCATAGAGCCTGCTCCCTGCACCCTCCCCAGGTGAAGGGCAGGGGAGTTCCTTTGAGGTCTCTAATCCCAATTAGGAGGTGGCCAAAACCCATCCCAAAGGCCCTACCTCCAAATAACACCATGCTTGGGGTTAGGTTTCAACATGTGAATTGCAGGGGTGTGGGGGCGGGGAGCACACACCTCAATATACAACACCCGGGGTGTGCTTAGCCACGAAGTTGTTCTCAGAAGTTCTCTTTAGGAGAGAGAGAAAATAAAGCTGTTCTTACACCTACTTTCAAAAATCTCTTATGAAAGTATTAATATACATAGAGAAAGGCGCACAGCTTGATGAATTTCCACAAACACGTGGAACTAATACTCAGATGAAGAAACAAATATTGCCAGCACCCAAAACCTCCCTTTACATCTGCTTCTGGGCACTCTTTCCCCAGGGGAAACACTGTTCTGGCCTCTAACACTTGGAGTCTTGGAGTAGTGTTGCTTTTTTTTTTTTTTAACTTTGCATAAATGGAATCACATAGTGTACACTCTTGGTGCCTGACCTCTTCTCTGCAATCTTATATTTATGAGATACATCCCTATTGTTGTATCCAGTTATAATGGTTCATTTCTATTGCTGCGTCGGACACCTTTGTACAATTACACCATAGTTTTCCTTCGTCCTTTCTGCTATTGATAGGCATTCAGTAGTTAAGTTTCTAGTCCCTAACTTCCAAAAATAGTACTTTTGGTAACTGGCATCTGGCATAGCCCCAGTGATCCCTGACTTTTGGGTATTTGCATGCCTGACTTTTGGGTATTTGCTGCCCCAGAGTTTGTCTGTGTGGAATAGAATATGGCAGAAATGATGAGATGTCACTTCCAAAATTAGGTTATGAAAGACAAGGAGGCTTTCCTCTAGCTTTCCCTCTCTCTCTCTTGCTTTCTTTCTAATTGCTCTGGGGGGAAGCCATTTGCCATGTAAGGAAGACAGGTAGGCAGCTATGGAGAGTCCACATGATGAGGAATTGAACCCTCCAGCCAACAACCACAGAAGAACTGAGGCCTGCCAGCAACTACCTGAGTGACAGGGAGTGGATCCTCCCCTGTGTTGTCTCCAACATCTGTGTTCCCACTGACAGCTTGACGAAAACCTCGGCAGAGCTTACCCAGCCAGTGACTTTCATGCAATCTAGACACTTTTGTCTTTGTAGACCCCTTCCTCCAGAAAGAAAGAAAGAAACAAACAAACAAAACACAGATCTCAAGTACTGCAAGGA